ATTCGGATAGGCACATTTTCTGCGAGGATGTTCGACTTAGTTATCCTTTTCAAATCAGTAAATGCGTTTGGTATTTGATTTGCTATATTCTGCAAATGGATGATCTTCTGGACCTCTTGTTCACACATAGGGGAATGTGGATCAAAATGAGATAATGATGAAACTTTCCATGCAATTTCACTTTTAAGTTCCTTTTTCTCTCCCCCTAATTGCGGAAAATTTGTTTCATCAAATCGACAATCTGCAAATCTTGCAGTAAATAAATCTCCCATCAATGGCTCAAGGTAGCGAATTATGGATGGTGAATCAAACCCAACATATATGCCTAACCTTCTTTGGGGGCCCATCTTAGTGCGTTGAGGTGGTGTTACTGGCACATATACATCACATCCAAAAATTCGTAAATGAGCAATATTTGGTTTATGACCAAATACTAATTGTGACGGAGAGTATTTATTATAACTAGTTGGTCTAAGACGAACAAGTGCTGCAGCATGTAAGATAGCATGACCCCATACGGTAGTGGGCAATTTCGTTTCATAAGTAATGGTCTTGCTATCAATTGTAAGCGCTTAATAAATGACTCAGCAAGGCCATTTTGAGTATGAACATGAGCTACATGATGTTCAACTTTTATCTCTATTGATAAGCAATAATCATTAAAAGCTTGGGATGTGAATTCTCCAGCATTATCAAGGCGAATTGCCTTAATGGTATAATTTGGAAATTGCGCCCTTAATCTTATTATTTGTGCCAATAATTTTGCAAACGCCAGGTTGCGAGATGATAAGAGTCACACATGAGACCATCTTGAAGATGCATCTATTAGGACCATAAAATATCTAAACAACCCATTAGATGGGTGAATAGGTCCACAAGTATCCCCATGTATACGCTCTAAAAATTGAGGGGATTCAATGTTAACCTTCATTGGTGATGGCCTAGCAATCAATTTACCCTGACAACAAGCAGCACATGGAAATTCATCACTCGTAAGAATCTTCAGGTTCTTTAATGGATGTCCATTCGAGTTTTCAATGACTCGTCTCATCATTATTGATCCAGGATGACCTATTCGGTTATGCCAAAGCACAAAAAAATTTAAGTCAGTAAACTTCTGGTTTACGATAGAATGTGTTTCAATTGTACTTATTTTTGCATAATATAAGTCAGAAGATAAAGTTGATAATTTCTCCAACACATATTTTTGGTCTAAGACAATCTTGGTAATACCAAGGTATTCAACATTCATTTCATTTATTGTCTCAACATGATATCCATTTCGGCGAATATCTTTAAAACTTAACAGATTTCATGGGGATTTAGAAGAGAACAATGCATCTTCTATAACAAGTTTTGTCCCCTTAGGCAGAAATATAGTAGCTCTTCCGGAGCCTTCTATTAAGTTTGAATTACCAGAAATTGTAGTAACATTTGCTTTTCTTCTAAACAAGTAAGAGAAGTATTTCTCATCTTTGAATATGGCGTGCGTTGTTCCATTATCAATTACACAAATATCTTCATGATTGATCTTTGATCCAAACGAAGTTTGGGGCATATCCATATTTTCTATTTAGAGTAGCTCAAGTTGGCAGAGTCTCGTGCTGATAACGTATTATAAAATAATTACTTAATAAACTTAAGATTAACACACTTAAAAAGGAGAGCAATGGAGAGAGTAATGTCTTTCAATCTATATCACTACATTTGTAAATGTAGTAGCTATTTATAGTAGTAAGCTAAAGTACAAATGTATAACTTGGCTACTAATTGCCAAGTGTTGATAGTTTCCCAAAAGATGGTTTCCACATGGCATGCATATTTGCCTTACACCATGATAAGTGATGAAAGTCACTAAATTGGTAGTCTCCAAGTGGCATCCTTCATTTTCTTACAACAATATATATATATATATATATATATAAACGAGAACTCTAGGATCGTCTATGTGGCGCCACCACAAACAAGAATTCCCTTTTAATTTATTTATTTTCAAAACTAGCCTTCCTTTTTCATGAAAAGTTGTGACTTTTTATGAAAAATTGTGACTTTTATGAAGAGTTGCGACTTTTATGAAAAATTATAACTTTTATGAAAGGTTGTGACCTTTTCGAAGGGTTGTACCTTTTCCAAAGAGTTGTGACCTTTCCGATAAGGTACAATAAGTATTTATTCACATAAAGGTTGTGACATTTCCGAAGGGTTGTAACTTTTCCAAAGAGTTTTGACCTTTTCGAAAAGACATAATAATCATTTGTTCACACTACCATTTGTTGTCTATAAATAAAGGGATTTATGACAATTTCTTTTTGCTATTTTGGTAACTTTTTTTTACTCTGTTAAAAATTTCAGCAAAGATGATTGAAAATTGATCTTCTCTTTTGTCCCTTTCTACAGGTTTCTTCATATAAACAAAGAAAATTGATTTTGATTGTAATGCGACATTACTACTCTTGCACCTCTCATTCCAGAACTCATAACATTGTTGAAATGGTTAAATTCATTACATTTAGTTCTTTAGTAAACAAAACTTTTATTTCTGCCACTATTAATTGTAGGTTTTCTTTTGCTATAGGTGAGTCGAATTCAAATACATTAATTAAACTTATTATGAAGTGTGTTTCATACCTCAAAGTTTTCTTGCTCATATTTCATGAAGCTTAGTCTTTTACTGTAAGTCATAGTGATTCATGTATCTATTGCAATTTCTATTTTCTATTTTGGTGACTTTTTTTGAGCTCTGTTAAAAATTACAGTGAGGATGATTGATATATTTCTTCTCTTGTGTCCCTTTCTACAGGGTTTTTCATATAATTTTTGGGAAAATTGATTGTGGGTTGTGCTATATTTGATAGCACACAACAATAACTATGTGATAACTAATACGAAATCAATAATGAAGTTTGTTAAAAGAACCAGACAGATTGCTCTTTTGCTTGCCACAGTTAGTATATTATTTTGATTGTTTTTGTTAGGTACAAATAATTTGTATGTCATTGAACTCTTCCTAGAATATTAGTATCGACACAATTAGTCCACTTCTTTTGTAGCAAGTTAAGTAATTTGTCATATTTCTTCGTCTCTTCTTTTTGGGCATATTAAGAGATCAAGTTTTCTTGAAACAAACAAATGTCCAAAATGCACTATAACAAAAATAATTTTTATAGGCAATAAATATGTACATTACCGAAGAGTTCTAGAGCCTTTACCGACATTAACTAATTGTCATTAGATTCAATGTTGCTATAAACTTTAGGGACATTTATATAGAGTACCAATTGCCTCTGAAAATACATATTAGCGGCAGTTAAGCTATTAATTGTTGTTAAAGATCATTTTTATTGTAGTGCTAGACTCTTTATTTTGATAATGTTTTTTATAAGGACGTGACAACTCTTTCTTTTGGATTATTTCAATTAAATTTGTGAACTGTAAACTTGGATACAATCCGATAGACTATCTTTGTGAAAAATATGTTTAGCAACATACTTTTTTCTTCTTGATTGCTAGGAAAATAAGGTTTTCTTTATTATTATTTGTGGATATTTGTGAGTTCAAGTGCTCACAAAATTATGTTGTGAGATTTTAATATGTTATGTGTCAAAAATTTGATTTTGAATATCCAGTTGTGAACAGTTCCATTCAGATGCCATCTACTGCTTGGTTGATAATTGCATTAATTCTGTGTAACTGCATACTATAACTATAGCAATAATTATGGTTCAATTCCAAATAAGTTGGGGTTGGTGATATGAAACCTAAGCAACAGTAATGACTACTCTGAGACAAAGAGGAAAAACATTTATGATACTAACAATTTTAGGGTTCATTTTTAACATATACATGATACGTCATACTATAATAAAAACAGATTGATGGAGGTTCATAAGAAAAGAGCTGAAGGTCTTCCATTTGAGTTTAGTTAATTATGTTCTTCCATTGGAGTGTTGTTGTTCGAGATTTTTTGGTCTCTTCTTTAATGTCTGATGTTGTTCTTTATAACTTTTTGAAATTTAGCAAATTTCATTACTTCTGACCAACTATTTCTATAGATATTTTCTTAGACTTCTTTCTTATACTTAAAATCTTCCATCACTCATAATTTTTCTATACCAAAAACAAAAATTAAAAAATATAGCACTTTGACTTGAGATAAAAATATTCTTTACAATATAATTCATGTATATAAAATCTGAATATTATCGAATGATCATATGTAAGATTAATAAAATAGTTCAATCTCGTGCGAAGCAGGAATAATTTACCTAGTATTAATATATTTCATAGAAGTTGAAGGATAAAAAGTATAAGAAAGCAATGATAAAAAATGAAAAAAGTGATCTCTGATCATAGTATTATGAAATATCTATTCTATTAATTTCAGGCATGATTATATAACAAATTATTTTTATCAGGGTCATTTTCTGATGAAAGTTCGTTATTTATTCATATATTTTTTTTAAAAAAAATCACTACAACATAAAAACATAATAGCATAAAGTATAAATATGATTACGCCAAGAATAAAACACATAACTTATATAAAAAAATATTTCAAAAGAATAAAAATCAAATTTAATGCACAAGTCGTACACCTTTACGTCCGGAGTTTACATTTACACATTCAAAATTTATGCTAAAGCGCCTCATAAATCTACACTTTTCATTTACGGTCCAAAGCATTTTAGGTAAACTCCATCCCATAAACAAATTTAAAAATACTAATTAAATGTCAAATCAAATAATATCACATATAAATCCTCAAAAATAGAAATAATATTTTATTTTATTTTTTCATCTCAATTTATTTATCTAAACCTTTTCTATATTTTTTAAAAATAAATTTAATTTTTAATTTCCACATTAGCTGAAATCACAAAATTCAAAAGTCTTCGGAAAAGTATTTATGGGATTGTCCAAAGGAACAAATTGAGATTGATTGTGTTTTGCAATGAAGAAGGAAGAGGTGAAAGATTAAATCTTAATTATCTACTGTTTGCATAGTTGTTAATTCAGTATTTAATTTAATTAATTAGATGTGAAGGACAAGGAGAAGAGCCGTCTCGCACTTTGTCCGGATTTACAAATCTTCCCTCAACTCCGCCCAAATCTACTCGTTAGTTCCCTTCTCTCTAATCTTTATTTTGATTTCTCAATTTTGTGTTCAATTCTTATGTGTTTTCCTGCGTTTGATTTCTGAATTTTCAGTAATTAGTAGTCTATTTATGAATATTGTGTATTTAGAAGAAGATGAAAGGTTTATCATGGTCATTTGTATTTGTAGTGGTTTCAATCGAACTGATTTCAATTTGGAGTTAAGATGGGCATTTTGAATTTCGGAGTTTTAAGATCTCTAATTGTTACTATATTGTTTTGTCCAAGTGTGTTTGAAATGAATCAGAAAGTAAGGTTGATATGATCAGGGATTTGAGTTTGTTTATTTGCTTTCGTGTATTAGGTGCAATGGATTTTGATTTTTTGGTTATGGATTTGAAATACATGGGGTGAAATCTATCTATCAATTCACTTGTTGCACGAGGTTTAGTGTATAGGTGGAGGAGGGTAGAGGGGTGTGCGCATTATCCATGAGTGTCGAGCTGAGATAAGATATTTTGGTCATAAAGTAGTTCCCTTTAGGGCAGTTGGGGCAGTTATATTGTGCTGAATTTTCTGAAAACCAACACTATGAAACGTTATGCTGTTTTTGGTGAACCAGCTGACCGATTTAACGCGATATATGACTGATATGACTCCTGCTCTTTTGGGATCATATGTTATTTTTCTAACCATCTACCAGAGGAAATGTGCATTTCTTGAGTAGGCTTAGCACTTGTTGATGAAATGGTATTTAAATTCATCATTAACCAACCTACTTGAGGATAGATCCTCTTGATCTTGTCAAGTTATTTCACAGTTGAAGCTGGAACAGTGAAAGGGTGACGTTGTCTTCCCCCTTGTGGATAAATGTAGTTTCTTTGACTTTTACTGATATTACATGTCAAACTGATATAAGCTTTAAAGATGCTCTAGAGCAAGAACCGGAAAGGTATACGGAGCTGAGCACCGAAGTAAACTGGCTAAGCAATCCAGATCCATCCAGTAGGATTTCAGTATTGCTGTTAGGCGTTAGCTAGATGATATTTAACCCTGATAGCTTCAGAACACACCAGAGGACTCTAACACACCTAAATTGAGTTAGTCAAATCTGTCACTTTATAAAAAAAAACACAAACACACAGACACAAATCGAGACTTGTCATTTTGAAAACGGAAAAGAAAGAAGCACATCTAATTGAGAATCTGAGGCTTCCCAAAAGGTATAGTATCATTAGAAAATAAGAGTTTCAAGTAGGAAAAAGAGGAGCTGTACTAGAGACCTATTTTTTAACAATTGTAGCCAGTTCACATAACAACATTGTTCAGAAGGCTGGCATCCTTTCGTCGTCATCAGTGAAAAGTAGAAGTGGACATAAGTGCTCACCTCGCAAGAGTCCTCTTGCAGCTCTTATTTGAAGCGATTGATTTATCCATAAAAGCATTAAGTATCGTGGCGTAACATTTGAAAATTATAAATTCCCAATTAGCAGGATCATAGGTGTCTTTTTCTTTTTCCGATTTTGAGTTTGCAACTTGAAATATCTATTCCTTCCATTCCAAAATATTGATGGAGATTGAAGCATGATAGTCATACCATATAATTTCTAACCTCAATTTGGATATCGATTCATTATTTAAAGTATCTTAGAAATTACAAAATATACTACAAAGCACAAGTTTAATGATTATAGGTTTAGAACTTTTGAAAGATCATAGTCAAAGCAAGATCTGTTGTACGGTCTAATAGTAATGGTGTCGTATAATGCGGCAAAGGGAGAGTCGTTTTTGCTGACTCTTTTGTGTCACAAAATTCTACTTTCGTTTCCCCAAGAATGTCTTCGGACAAGGTAAAACTGATTTTCTCAATTTCCGCTCCTTTTGGGCACCCATGTTCCTCCCGGAGATCCAGCTCTTCCATCTTTTTAAAGCTACTTTTTTCAGAACCTCAACTTGATAGAATTCCACTATGGAGATCATCAGCCCAAGGAAGTTCCTTCACATGATAGAATTTCACCATAGAGTCCAAGGTATTTTCTCCACAGCTTCTACCACAATCAGTATACTGCAACCCTTTTCCTTGAATCACATAGTTTCAAATCTAAACTGGATTTTGCCTTTAAGTGCCTTCAGATTCCAACAAAATATGTGCATGCTTATGTGCAAATTTATTTAGGCAAGATAGACACTTTTGGACATTCATCCCAGCCAGTAAACATGATGCTTGAACCTGTAAAGTGTGGACAGTGAGCTGCCGTTAGACACTTTTGGACATTCATCCCAGCCAGTAAACATGATGCTTGAACCTGTAAAGTGTGGACAGTGAGCTGCCGTTAGACACTTTTGGACATTCATCCCAGCCAGTAAACGTGATGCTTGAACCTGTAAAGTGTGGACAGTGAGCTGCCATTCTCTTCTCCAGGTGAAATTATCTCCCTTAAGATGGAAATTAATGAACTTCTGTCTGGAGGTAAGATCCAAAAATAGCTAATGTTCTCTCTAATATTCTTGCACGGGGAAATCTGGAACCATTGGTTCCTCTTCTGTGCATGAAAGTTTATACGAAACCTTCTGCATCAGAAAGTTCTTCACATGAAGTAGTTGGAGAATGATCTTTAGGCATTCTTAGCGTAGTTTTCTTTTCAGGATGAGTTCTTTTCCTTTTTCATCTTTTGCTTTCGTGATTCTTCTGTTGTATCTTTTCGCTAGATTGTTACTTGTTTGTATACGTCATTATTAAGATTTATATATGTAACCCTCAGGGGTTGGCCTGCTGGCAATTGACTTGAGCCTTGGGGTTTGCTCCCTTTCAAGGTCTCAAGTTCGAAACCCACTGGGTGCAAACAATTTCTGAGGGCCATCGGACTGGGTAAAACCTGAATTAACCGTGGTGCACTTGCGGGAAACTCCTTGCCGAGGGCCTGTGCACCCCCGGGATTAGTCGGGGCTCAAAGAGACTCGGACACCCGGTGCAAATCAAAAAAAAAAAAAGATTTATATATGCTTTTGCCAAATTAGATGTTTGGCCAGAAGATTCTGATTTTCTCCTTCTTAGTTCTAAGTGGTTTTGGTGATAAAAGTTCACTGCCTATGGTTTTCCCATTATAAGTTCCACTTGGCTGTGTTTGTCTTAATGATATGTCCTGCTTCTCTCTGTTTCAGCTAAAAGTGATGGGTATATACCTCAGTTCCCCCAAAACAGAGAAATTCTCAGAAGATGGTGGGAATGATAGGGTAAAATATGGTTTATCATCAATGCAAGGATGGCGTGCAACAATGGAAGATGCTGTGAGTATCCCTGCCACTTACTTTAGTTATATGTTTTGTGATGTAATTTGTGGAATGGAAATAACTTGCTTGCTTTTATTTAATTTGATGACACAATATAAAAGAATAAATGTCCAAGAGGAAAAACACACATACGTACTATATGTTCACAGCTTTCTATCTGGGAAAAAGTATGGATTTTGGCTTGTCTAAACAGTTCATAGGGCATGTGTTTAAGTTTATAGTTGCTTGTTCGCTTTCAGACTTGAGCAATGTGACTTGTTTAAACTTTGTTTGACTTTTGTTTCTCTAGTCATTTCATCATTCTGAGCTGTAGAATTGGTTTATCTTCAGTGCTGACTGGTCTTCTCACGTGTGATATGAAGTTAAACTGATATATACTACCATGGTCATCTAAGAGTCTTGACTAACTTGCCTTTGTTTTTGCCTACTGCTTCAGTACAAGACTAATAAAACGTTAACATAGTGGAAAGCTTTGGTAGTGGAACTACACAATGTTTATTATGCTTGTTAACGTTTCATCCTCTTAATGATCTATCTGCAGTCCATCTCACGTGTCGGTTTAGACTCCTTCTCAAAAATATAAAAAATAGAAAAGAATAAATAAGTCAAAGAAAGCTGGCAGAATCTTCCAGTGAAAGAGAATAGGCTCAAGTTATTTGATTAATTCTAGTCAAGGTAAAATTATCTTCAGTATTCCAAAATCGCACTACAGATAAGAGTTGGAACTGTTATCGACTCAGATTATGGTATTTGCTTTGTATCAGTTTAAATATTATATCATATTGTTCATGTTATTGTGGCCTTCTGTATCTAATACATGCTTATAGTGGCCTTCAGTAGCTAATACATGCTTATTGTAGCCTTCAGTATCTAATATATGCTTTTCATTGACATAGTTATCTGATACATGTTCTTAGTCTTTGTCTTATCATAGTGTTTTAGTTATCAATAATCCAACATGTATGAGTTAACATTTTGTCCCTTTCCTTTGTTTAGCATGCAGCAATACCTGATTTGGATACTTCAACATCCTTTTTTGGTGTCTACGATGGTCACGGAGGTATGTATGTTGTCAGTACATGGGTTATTATTGGGATGTTATACATTGTTGCTTGGGAAAACTTGTCTTTAGCTAACAGAGGAATATAATAAATTAAAACATGATTTGGTGTAGCTAAGGAAATTTTACCTGGAACACAGGTTTGTATTTTCATAATTTGTATTGTGTTCCTTGTATTTACCTCTGGTGTAGGAACCTGTTTTCTTTTTCGAGCAGTAAGGAACTCTTAGGTATTGAGACTTGACAATGCTCATAGCTGGACAGTTGAGCCATGAAATCGTGGTTCTTATGCATCAAGCATTATATAGTGGGATGTGGTGACATTTTGCAATAGATATCTTTTACGTTCTTTCAGGTCTATTTTTGTCAGTAAGGCCATGGTTTGATCTTGGCAGAAACACATTATCGTTTTAGTGCTTTGGTTATTAATTTTAAGAAAATTGCACTGTGTAATATTTGTGATAATGGTACCTTGTAACATTTGAGTGATTATGTAGATCCCAAGTGACCCGTGGTGGATTTCCATTTAGAAGAAGTTGGTAATTTGCCAACTTCTTGTGTAGATCCTGTGATGATTCAACTTATGAAAGTAATAAAAGGTTTTTTTTCAGGACAACTTTGAGCAATCTGGGATCCTTGCTTGAAATAATGGTGATTCGCTCAATACCAGGTTGATTAGTACAACAGAAGGGTTTTAGTCCTATTGTTGGGCAATAAAACCTTTTCTCCCCGTTGTGCATTCTCTGACTGAGCTTTGGTCTTCTGCTGTCCAGCTCTCTCTCTCTCTTACTCACTCTCGTGAGATTCTTTCTCCTCTGCTCTTCAATGTCTTGTTATATAGTTTCTTTACGAAGAATTTCTCTATGATTTCAGTTCCTTCCTTCGGCGTTTGTCTTTTCCTGTTGAGCTTCAGCAAGATATCTCTCTCTTTTTAATTTCATAAACTTCTGTTGGCTAAAGCATGACATGCATATGCTTCCTCGGAAAACTGTAACTCAAATGCGCTTACAACAGTAAGTAGCCAATCAAATAGTGGATTGAGAACCATGAGGTCTCAGGTTTAATTCCAGTGTAGGCAGAAACACTAGATGATTTCTTCCCATTTGTCCAAGCCTTGGTGGACAGAGTTACCCATACTTGTGCTAGTGGGAGGTAGCAGAGGCCACATAGAATTAGTTGAGGTGCACACAAGCTAGCCCGGACACTATGGTTATAAAAAAAAACAGTAAGTAGCAAATCAAAATTTTGTGAGAAAAATCAATCTACAGTCATTTAAACACAACAGACAAAAGAAATATGGTTATTGGCTTATTGCTACATCTTAAACAGAAATTCACATGAAATAACTGCAAATAAGCTAAAAACAAACCTGAACAAATTGTAGCAAGAATCTCATGCTTAGCCAACAGAAGTTTTAGAATGAAAAAATGATTCTTGTTGGAGCTCGAAGGGAAAAGGCAGATGCTGTGAAAGGAACTGAAATCAGAGAGAAACTCTTTGTGAAGAAGCTAACCAATAAACATAACAGAAAAGAGTTATTAAATTGTGTATTCTACATTATTGCATTGAGTCTATTTATATAATATACGCTCAATCCTTTTCCATGTAGGACACTATATAAAATCCTAATCCTATTCTAACACTCCCCCTCAAGCTGGTGCATATAAGTCATATGTACCGACCTTGTTACAGATGTAACTATTATGAAGACCAGTGAGGGATTTGGTGAAAATATCTAAAAGTTGATCACTTGACTTCACAAATTTTGTAACAATATCTCTTGAGAGTATTTTTTTCTCTTATAAAGTGACAGTCAATCTCAATGTGCTTAGTCCTATCATGAGATACTGAATTTGTTGCAATATAAAGTGGCACTTGATTATTACACAAGTTTCATCTGACTGATTTCTCCAAAATTTTAATTCTCTGAGCAACTGTTTGATCCAACTGCTCACAAGTTGCTACAACCATTGTTCGATATTTTGCTTTTGAACTTGATCAAGCAATCCCATTCTGTTTCTTACTCTTCAAGGATGCCAAATTACTTCCTACTAAAACACAATATCCAGATGTAGAACGTCTATGAAATGGTGTTCCTGCCCAATCTGCGTCTGAATATCCAACGATCTGTTCATGGCCTCGATCCTTGAAGAGTAGTCCATTGCCTGGAGCTGACTTATCCTTTTTCATATAGGATACCTTTTACAATCTTAATCCTATTCTAACAATATTGAAGAGAAAGGGAGAGAGAAAACTGAAGAGCAAGTGAAAGAGATAGAAGGAAGAAGACCAAAGCGCAAACCACATAGCGGCAGAGCCAAAGGAAAAGGGTTCAGAGCTTTATTAGTAGGATTAGCCAAACTGAGTATCTTACCATTGGACAACGGAAATACACATGTGACTGCTTTCATTACTCTGTTGCTGAACTATGGGGTTTCAAAAGGTTTGAAGCTGACAATATGGACTGAGAATATTTTAGCAAACAATTGCGAGGAGTTTTTCCCAAAAATAATTCCTTCTTTATTAATTCTTAGAACAACATTAAATTCTACCACATATGCTGCCATGCACAGCAGAAATGACAAGTTGATCTTTTTCCTTTCTTTCCCATTTCACTAACAACACCAATCAAATTCATCAAAACCATTGCTCCCTAGGCTTTGGTTCAGTGGTAAGAGCACCACATGTGATGTGTGGCTTTGGCGCATGTCATGAGTTCAAACCTTGCTATTACCAAGGCCTTGTAATTCAGTGGGAACGAGTATAGGGGTGGGTCCATTATCTTCTGAGTTTCCAGTCATCCCTCAGTGAATTTCTTGGTTATAAAAAAAATCATCAAATTATTCTGCAAAAATGAACATTGAATTGCAATTTGTGCTTTCATTTTTGCTTTTTTCACTGTCCTCTTTTGCTGACACATTTCCCAAATGTTTTTTCACAATACATCAAAAGATACTTTACATTTTGAAGCTATTGCAATTCTTCAGAATGGGTGGAAAGAGGATACTTCAAGGTCAATTAAGGGGAAAAAGGAAAAATAAGATAGGATCTTCCGATATCATCAGGTTGGATATTCAATGAGGCAACTGAAGTGTTCTGTGGTAGATATTTAGGTAGTAGTTTAAAACTGGAAGTTATAGTTAGGAGAATGTTTGTTCAGAAATAAACTCAAGGAGACGTGCTATGACTGTATCAGAATCTTTTCTCTTATTTGAGCAGTGAACTTGAATCTTTGGTAACCTGTTTGTGGGTTTTGTTAAAGAATGTCAAAAGTCCCACATTGGTGGTTAATGAGATGGATGGATTCCTAACGTTTGTCGTTTGGGCAATCCTCCTCCCTTTGAGCTAGCTTTTGGGGTGTGAGTTAGGCCTAATACCTAATTTAACATGGTATCAGAGCAGGGCCCATCTCACCCAATGTTGGGACCCCCAAAAAATCAAAATTGCCCCAAAAAATCAAAAATTGCCCACGCACCAGATGCTAAGCATTGGGCATGAGGTGGGGCGTTAAAGAATGACAAAAGTCCCAGATTGGTGGTTAATGAGATGAGTGGATTCCTTATAAGGCTTGGACAATCCTCCTCCCTTTGAGCCAACTTTTGGGATGTGAGTTAGGCCTAATGACCTAATATAACAGGTTTCAAGTAGGAGTTCGGGAAATGTTAGTTTGGACAAGTTGATGCCGTTTATCCTATTACTTGATCATATAGATAATATTTATGTCTGCTTGAATAAGCAATATCCCTTCAATGGGGATATCGACTCTTAATGCATGACTCATGACACTAACATCTATCCTTTTCATTCCTTCAATAAACTGATGATTTGTCCCCTCTGAAGCTACATTCTTTAGAATTGAAATCTGGTCATGGGTCTACTATATTCCTACGTTCTATTCTTTCATTTAGTTTATACTGTTTTATGTGATTCTTCATGTTTGTGGGTGATTCCACTGTTAGATTATGGTTGTTCGCTTATTGTTCCTTTGTGAAGGTGAGCCTGAGAGTTGTAAATTTGGAGGTCTTAGAATGATAGCATAAGCTGTATTATCTGTTACCCTTGCCTGCCTGTACTCCCTATTCTTTGTTTTATATGGTGGTGTTAGGGATGTAACTGCAATAGATTTGATCTGGCAGGCTTGAAATTTTATTCATGCAATAGAGGTTACTAAAGAAGCTTTGATATCCCCAAAAGTACCAATTCAAATCCAAGTTCTTATTTATGCTTATTAAACAGTAGACACTTTAGTCTTTGATACTTTTCCTGCTCTAGAAAGATAAGGTTGCTACTATAATGAAGCATCTTGAAGAACATTTTAAGCAACTACTCCTGCGACTTCCTGATCTAACCATATAACTGAACATTTCATAAATTACAGGTAAAGTTGTTGCTAAATTCTGTGCCAAGTATCTACATCAACAAGTGCTCAAGCATGAAGCATATTTACATGGTGATATAGGAACTTCGGTCCAGAAAGCCTTTTTCAGGTTAATTGCTTGAGGCTTTGGGTTCTAGAATTGACTATATAACATCCTGAGAACTCTATGGGTGTCTTTTAGTGTTGAATTATTTACTTTCTTTTAATGTTTAATTATTTAAACAGAGACTGATTCTGCATGTATGTTTTCAATGCCCCTTTTCAAGTAGCATCCTTTTTAGGTACGGGATAAGAAGGCTACTAGGAAGGATTCATGAAAACATACACTACTTTCCTTGTAGCTACATAGTAGTTAATGTTAGTGGTGTTCATTGTTGTAGTAATTTTCAACTTTGATCTATATACTCTTAAGTTTGCTCTGTGCATTTGATATTTCTGGTTTAAAATTGGAATAGATTGAGAATTACTCACTCCTGTTTGGGTTAGATTACTTGAATTGTTCGCTGACTCACTGACTATATTAATAATTTAATATTTTGTATTTGGTAGATGATATTTTTAAGTCCTGTTTCATTGAAATTGCATTTTATTCCTTATATTTCTTTTCCCACAAGTTGAAAGCTTGTACGGGTACTATGATGGTGCTTATCACTCAACATATTTAATCCTTGACATTTCCAAACAAATGGAAAACTGATGTGGCATTTGTATTGTCATATTTTTGAATTTGGTAAGAAGTACTCACTCCATCCATTTTATGTGGCACACATTTTTTTAGTATGTCTCAAAATTATTATAACACTTTTGGAAACCATTTGATCTTATGATCCCCGTTTACCCTTAAATCTTAATGACATGACTTGTTGTGATCCACTTTACATATAAGTAAAACATACATGTCTAAATAATCCCATTGGTATCATCGCCTATACACATATTTTCCTTTCGTTATGCCCTACCTTGCGCTACATCTGCATGGATGTCATTTGCACTATGAAATCATTAATTGCTTTTGTGCTTCCAAAGTATGTTATGAGACGGGTTTTTTCTGTTCCTGGTGCAGAATGGACGAGATGATGCGTGGTCAGAGAGGATGGAGAGAGCTGGCTGCACTGGGGGATAAATTAAACAAGTTCACGGGTATGATAGAGGGCCTTATTTGGTCTCCAAAAAATGGTGATGGAAACAGCCATGTTGATGATTGGGCATTTGAGGAGGTACCTGATGTGCTTGAGGATATTGAGTTTCAATGAAATAAAATAACGTGCCTGTCTCTCCTTTTTATCTTTTCAGTTGATAAAACCATTTTGCAATGGAGATTGGGGTATTTAATTGAGAATATTTAAAGCTTCCCAAGTGTTAGTTTCACAATTTTCATGGACTACTGTACTCTTACTAGTGCTTCCTTTTAGAGGTAAGGGAAGGAAGTTTATAAATGGATACTTACTCTAAACTAAGACGTTGGAACCATGCATCAAAGTTGACCCTGTTCAATAAGTGAATGATTGAATTGAACACTTACTGCTTTTAGAAATAGGGCAAAGCTGTAATAATGAGATCATTCCCCTGAAATTGTCCATACTTATATAGTACTTTAGCATGTCACCTCGCCGCATCTGCACATCACTATTGTTGTAGACATTGTTTAATTGGTTTGTGGCTAAGTGTTTGTGATATTGATATCAGGGGCCTCACTCTGATTTTTCTGGACCTACTTCTGGATGCACAGCTTGTGTTGCAATCCTTAGAGAGAACCAACTCATTGTTTCAAATGCTGGTGACTCTCGCTGTGTCATTTCAAGGAAGGGCCAGGTAATGTGCCATCTTTTAGATATTTAATAGAATGTTTCTTCTCCTCTGACAGTGGATATTTTGTGTGTCTAAAGTTACTTTTGTACTAGCCCAGCATGCCACGTCTTTGTGCTAGCTATCTCTGGGTCATAGTCTTGTGGCCCCAATTTGGATGCGTATATTGTCAATAGGATGTAATGTTAAAGTTTTCTTGTTTAAACCTTAACGTGAATATAAAGGACGGATATCAAATATGTCCCCTTTTTGCAGGCATACAATTTATCGAGGGATCATAAACCTGATCTTGAGGTTGAGAGAGAGAGAATCTTAAAAGCTGGTGGTTTTATTCATGCAGGACGTGTGAATGGAAGTCTAAATCTTGCAAGAGCTATAGGTATTATTCCTGTTTGTTGTGGACCTTTAATATTCTATTATAAAGCTAGCTGCCATGAAAAAGCAGTTTGAAACTTTACTAATGTTATTTGGCTCGTTTTAAATTAATTGCAGGTGACATGGAATTCAAGCAGAACAAGTTTTTGCCAGCTGAGAAGCAAGTTGTAACTGCTAATCCAGATATAAACACTGTACGTTCCTTCAGTTCTTCATATATCACACAATTTGTTCTAATGATAACTTCGAGACATGAATGTTTCTCAAGAAAGTCGGATCCAATTTTTCTTGTTTGTTTGGCAACATATCTTACTCTTTCTGGGGCCAAGAAGCAACAAGGCACTAAATAACAGCTTTTTCTTTACATGCGTCTCTAGGCTATCTTCCGTTATCCCTTAAAGTGTGTTTCTAACTTCTGCATGAAAATCATAATATAAAGCCGATATTGAGATAAAAGAGGAGAATATATATAGTCTACAATGATTCATATGGCTGATCTCAACTCTTTTGGGGTTGAGGATTGATTGATTCATTCTTTCTCACTTGCCTTCAACCCCCAGCCACCCATCCTCTGCGCTTCTTTCCTACGTTCCTTTGATAACATGTAATGTTGCTAATTTTACCTTTCTCAAAAACATGTTCTGATATGCTCTGTTCTCTGATTAGGTTGAGTTGTGTGATGATGATGATTTTATTGTGCTAGCTTGTGATGGTATATGGTATGCATTCTAGACTCTTCTTTTATATTTGGGAACCAGGTCTCAAGACAAAAATATTAGATGTTCTTCATAGTTTACTCGGTTGATTTTCAGATTTCATATTAACAATTTTTTTGTTTACATATCTGATTTTTGTGTGGCTGTGTCTTCTCAGGGACTGCATGTCCAGCCAGCAATTGGTGGATTTTATACACGAGCAGCTGAAGTCGGTCAGTCTGAGAGCACACTTTTCTGCATTTGAATTGGTGTTAACTTTTGATGAAAGTCCTGTTTGGGAAGTCAGCTATTAAATAATGGGATAATTGAGTCATCTAAAGTTAATTATATTTATGGTTTCTGGAAGGTATCAATGGCCTAAGACTAACAATTAGAAATTACAACTACACCTCAGTCAGCTATATAAATCCTCATTGACCATATTTTTTTAAAATTAGTTTTTAACGACCGTGGTGTCCGGGCCAGCTAAATCCTCATTGACCGTATTTCTCCATTTAAACTCATCTTATGCCATAATCATACCAAATAGAAGCAGAAGTAAAAAATAAGGTATATATATATATGGAAGTAGAAGAAGTAATGCTGAAAAATGTCAGAAGGTACCTATATTTCAGGAAGGTTGTATGTACATAACAATGACATTGCAACTAGTGAAGCCTGATATAGGAATAGTTCACAGAAAAAAAGGTTGTTTGCATTTTACATGATACCATTTTGCTATTAAAAGTGGCAAAAGCCTGAGAGACAAATCGAATTATGTTTCCACTAATTTTTCTGTGGCAATCTGTAAACATTTGCATAGTAAATTAGTAAAGCAATAATGAAGGACCTGTACTATCTGACATTTATTTGCCTATTAATAGAATATTAAAGGCTTCTGTTTTGGCTGTTGATTTTTTATTATGTGCTTATGTACTGATTATTATGTTCATGTGTGGTCCCATGTAGCTGAACGATTTGGCTGTTGATTTTTTATTATGTTTGAGAAATGGGTGAATAAATAGAACAAAGTCAAAACATGCATGCACTTTTTTGAAATAGTATTATTTTCTGCAAGGCAAAAAGAGTTCGCCCAACTGATGAAGCTCAGTGTGTTTCAATTGCTTTCAAGTGATTACTTACATGAATCAGTAAAACTGAATCATCATTATCCTTGGAATGTATAGGAATAACTCATTTGCCTTATCGGGCACCTGGTGTCTGCTTACTCAGGGTTTTGTTGGGGGGGTGGGGGGTAGGAATTGTTGATCTGGCTTTCTCATATCATTGGCTAGGGCTTCCGTTAAAGTGAAGACTAGAGATAAAATATTCTTGTGTACACTCTAAAATACAGACTGATGGAGAAGGTTTGATTTGTAGGAAAGCAAGCTTTCTGCAGTATGTGAAAGAGTTCTCGATAGGTGTTTAGCGCCTTCTACTGCTGGAGGTGAAGGATGTGACAACATGACAATGATTTTGGTGCAATTCAAGAAACCTTTTCAGTCTGGGGCTTCTTTAGTTGAAGAACTCCCAGCTTCTAACGAGAAACTCCCTGCTCCCAGTGAGGCCACTAACACTGAAACAATACCAGCAGAGAGTGGATCTAGTTCATAGCCCTTGCTCGCCGTTTTGGATCTGATACTTCCAAGTCTGCAATTGTACATGATTGTTTTAATCTGTATGGACATATATTTTGCTTCTGGTTTTGTGTGTCATTGCGTTTGTATTATAATTACTGGAATGGATTGTATAGATTACTTGACCACATGTTAATTATTTCATGTACCCAATTGTTTACTCAAGTGACTTCTAGGTTGTGTCTGGAGTGAGGTTAACACTTCTACAGAAGAAATTAATCTTACTATGAATTTCAGTTTTATGTATAACAAAGCCAACTTCATAGATGTTTGCAAGTTTAGTCGCTTCAAACAAACCTTGGCCTCACCTTTGTCAAAACTGACTACAAGTTAAATATTTTGGTAAAGTTGGAGAAAACTAATTCTTATGCCAATTTTCTCTAATTTGTGATATCATATGATAACAAATAACAATAGCATATCCAATGAAATTCCACAAGTGAGATCCGGGGAGGGTAGAATATACACAGATTTTACCACTACCTCGTGGAGGTAAATAGCTGTTTTTGAAAGATTCTCGGCTCATATCATATAATCTACATTAAATATTTAATGATTTTCAATAGAATAAATAAGATTTTTGTGGTAACTTTACAGGCTGAAAAAGTCATTTGGACAATCATATTCCTAAATTAAAACAGGAACCTTTAAAATTTTGGAACAATTTAAAATACAGAAACGAAATAAAATGTTCCTGGAGTTGGAACTAACATAATACAGTTCAAATTTTCATGAAATATTTTTGGATTTTGAACCTTTAAAATTTTGGAACAATTTAAAATACAGAAACGAAATAAAATGTTCCTAGAGTTGGAACTAACATAATACAGTTCAAATTTTCATGAAATATTTTTGGATTTTGAACCTTTAAAAATTTAAATTCCATATATCGTCATAGGAGTTTGAACTAATTGTGTGGGTAGCTAGGGGAACTTTATCTAATTCATTTTTATATTAATATAAGTAATTATTTTTCAATTACATTTGAAATGATAAATAAACTTTTAACTACCGACTCAAAAGTTGGGGCAAGTGTATGGATATCCTAATTTTGGCGCTGTTATTTAATTTATCCTTCATTTTAGAAACTTTTTGGCAATCCACATCAAGATCTAAAATCAGTATTAACAAACTTTGACCTGAGACATTGTGTTTTAAAGTTTCATACAGATAAAGTTCATGTCCATATGCACATATGACGAAAGTTCGATCATTTTTGCCTGACTTTAAGTTAGATTGTTGTTCAATCATTTTTGTTTGTCAGTCAGCCAGATTGTATGATTCAGTCATTTTTGTCTGGCTTCAATAAAAATGATTAAACCTCAATCATACATAAATTTAGATAGTGTATTTGAAGTTTGATTAATTATTCTTTCCAAAAAAAAGACAGATGTAAATTGACGGTGTCAAAATAGGCTGCCCCGTGAAATTTTTATTTGGAAACATTACAGAAATCCCACAATTTAGTTTACTTATTACCATTATCTCCTATAAGTTTTACAAATCTCCAAAATCCCTCATTTTCACGCATCAGATTAGTGAATCTCACGCATCAGATTAGTGTATCTCGCACATCAGATTAGTGTATCATGTATAAAATATAATGTATCTTACTTAACGATTAATGTATCTCGCGCATCAGATTAATGTATCAGCGCTTATATTATTGTATCAATTTGAGGGATTTCTGTAATTATAAAATTTTAAGGGATATATTGTAATTTTGCTTTAAAAGTATGTGATTTCTGTAATTTGCCCTTTTTATTTTTTCCGAAAAAGAACCCAGCAGCAGAAAGGCCGTGGAGAAGACTTGTGAGGGCCTACAAATAGCCCAAAGCTAAAAGCCCATTATGAAAACAAATCGTTGATCACACAATAGGCCCAAAGCCCAAAAAAGTAGCAGTAGAGTATATGAGATGAAAGTTTGTTCACTGTCTAAACCCTAATAGAGAAGAAGAGAAAGGCAGTTACTTGTTCTTCATTTTCATCTTCGCCGCCTTCCGAAGATGAAGGTACCGCAGTGAATCTGCAGATTTTTTCTTTTTTGTTGATTGGATTAGATAAGCTATGTATGTATGTGTATGGTTTTCAATATATGCATTTTGATTTTTTGTGTGTTTTGGTTTTGCAGTTCAACATTGCAAATCCGACCACTGGTTGCCAGAAGAAGCTCGAGATTGACGATGACCAGAAACTGTAATTACCTCATTTTATCTCCATTTTTATTTGATTTTGTATCCTTCTTCACTTTTTGGTTGTTTGTATAATCGTTGTTATAGCAATTATTAATAATGCCACTACTGCTACTATTACTACAGTGTTTATCTTCTAATATGAAGTTTTCCGATTTCGCTTTGTTTTAGAAAAGGAATTATATAGATTTGTTTTGTTGAGATAGTAATTGTATTATGTTCGTTAAGCCTTTCATGATCCATTTGAAAGGCTTGAAGTACCAAACGTTATGAATTCCGCTTGATAGTAACAGTTGGCCTTGCCTGCTTAATGCTTAAAATAGTTTCTGCTTCTTTGATTTATATGTTTCGTGTGGATAGTCCGCTTGTTCTATCTAATCATACGTGTTCGGTTTGGGTCTTTGTTACCGATGTTATGTTACATTTCTTTTGTAACCCTATGTTTTTCTATTACAGTATTTTTCAATTCAACTCCATTCTTTGCCCTATTAGACATATCCACCTCGAATTTCTGCATTGTTTGCTGTTACCTTCTTGTATCCCTTGTATCATTCTCCATCTACATTATTTATGCTGATTTTGGGTTTTCCATTTTTGTTTTTGGTTAATGTCATTAGTTATTGCTTGAATTCAACAACTTGAAATATTTACAAGTAATAAGTAGCTATAAATCTGGTAAATGAAGTTTTGTAGTTTATTTTTATAATGAGTATTGATAAACCTAATATTTACAAGGTTAGTAAACTTATTACCTACTATCTAAGTTGCCCAAACTCTTCATAAAATCCTCCAAAAGTAGTGCATTTTTGGAGGATCCGACATGGGCGCGGCAACAATTTTGGAGAGTCCGAGCAACTTAGCTTATGATACAATCAAACCAAACAATAAAACCACATCAAATGAATCAAGCTATTCAAATGTTGTCTCTACAAAACAATACAATATGTTATGAATATTGAGTAACAACCATCCAACAAGTTATTGATTAAAAAAATAGCCACCCAAACAAGCTATTAATAACTGAAGTCTGGCCTAAAAATTTTGGTCTATGGTGGTACACTTTTTTGAAGAATGATAGCTATTGTTCCATGGGTTGGTAATTGCTTGGAAACCTTGATTTGCCTTCACAAGATGATGTACTTTGAGGATATTTGTTTATTTTGTTGGAGCTGGGCACGAACAGTTATGGAATCTATTTGTATGTGCTCATGGGCTTTATCTTTTGATAGCATCACTAGAATCCAAATGACAGGTATATTAAATTTGAAAAATTATGAATGCATCACTGAGTACAATTTAGAAATCAATACTTTAGTATAAGAATAAGCAATTTACATCGGTTGAACTTGGTTGACACGTTCTTTTACTTTATTCATTACACTTAAAATATTTCAATTATTCTGTCTGTTAGTACATGTATCTACAGTTTATTTCCTTGCATTACAAATTGAATTGTGTATTTTTTTTGTCATTGACAGCACAGTGATTACTTGTAACTGTTTTAGCTTGGTATGTAGCTGTTAATTGATTTTGTTGCAGTTTGTATGTTGCATTTTTCAGTATGCTCATTGTTTTGCATTTGCACACCACTTAGGTAGTTTATATTTGTGTTATCTAACCTAATATCTGGAAATGCAGTCGAGCCTTTTTTGACAAAAGGATCTCCCAAGAGGTCAGCGGAGATGCCCTGGGTGAGGTAAGTTTCTGGTGCATATATTCTATAACTTTCTTGGTGGTACTTTATATGAGTTTATTAGAAAAATGTTGCTCTTATGACGGCAGGAGTTCAAGGGTTATGTGTTCAAGATCATGGGAGGATGTGACAAGCAAGGTTTCCCCATGAAGCAGGGAGTTCTAACTCCAGGCCGTGTTCGCCTTTTGCTGTACCGAGGTACTTGTGCTTGATATTCTCTTAAAGGTGGTGCCTATTTGCTGTGAATAACTTTTTGGTTTAACTATCTAATTCGTTTATATAAAATAGGTACTCCTTGTTTCCGGGGACATGGTAGGAGAAATGGTGAGCGCAGAAGGAAATCTGTCCGTGGATGCATTGTTAGCCCTGACCTTTCTGTTCTGAATCTTGTTATCGTGAAAAAGGGTGAGAATGATCTGCCTGGACTGACCGACACTGAGAAACCAAGGATGAGAGGACCCAAGAGAGCTTCAAAGATCAGAAAGCTCTTTAACCTTTCCAAGGAAGATGATGTCAGGAAGTATGTCAACACCTACCGCAGAAATTTCACTACCAAAACTGGTGAGTTTTCTCCTTTATAGCTACTACTCATCAGGTCCCTAGTCTGTTCTGTATTCAAATTATAGCAGTTTGGACATGTTCTCAATGCTATTATGATGCGTTGTGCAACAGGGAAAAAATGACGAGCAAAAGCTCCCAAGATTCAGAGGCTCGTGACACCATTGACTCTGCAAAGAAAGAGGGCAAGAATTGCTGATAAGAAGAAGAGAATTGCCAAGGCCAAGTCAGAGGCAGCTGATTATCAGAAGCTTCTTGCATCAAGGTTGAAGGAACAAAGAGAAAGGCGTAGCGAGAGTTTGGCTAAGAAGAGGTCTAGACTCTCTGCAGCTTCTAAGCCATCCATTGCAGCTTAGTTCACTGGAATGTAATTCCTGCTATTTTTGGGTCTGGTTTTAGTTATTGTTGGATGTAGTACATGGTTTTGGTAATTTTGAGCATTCCTGATATTTTGAGTCTGATGGTACTTTAAGATTGATGATTTTTGTTACTTGACAATCTTTTATGTTTATGTTTTTCTTGATCTTGCTACTTTGAAAAATTGCCATGTTTTCAGTCTATTGGATAATGCATCAGATGATTAACAGATGTACTACATGAAAATGCTTTTTATCTTTTTGATCCTGTGAGCCAACAATTCAGAATCACTTTGATTGTCCTACTTTGTAAGACATTGGCTAGTTTTTAAACTTGAGGAGCGACCCCTTATTAGTTTCTTGTAATTGAAAAGCTTTTGATCCTCTTCTTTCTAATAGACCAATAGGTAAATAAGGTTACAATTGAAATTGTCCAAAAATTTTACTACAACACTTTGAGCGTTTATTTTCAATTATGTTCTTATGTCAGTAAAGCCGTCATATGGTTCACTTCTCTAGGAGAAGAATCGATAATACGTACAAATTCTCCAACATATTATTGGAATTTGTATGCAACTGTAGAGATGAAGATTGGAGAAAATAAAGATTGATAATAATACTAGCAAACATGATAGTGTGTTGATATAATTTTTGAGTGTTCATCATTGATAATAATGTCGAAAAATTCGGTTAGGAATCGAAATAACCTGCGAATTTTTTTTTGCAACCAAACACCGGAAAGTGACACAACTTCTGAAAAATATTTTGCTTCATACCAAACATGCCCTACGACAACTTTTAATTATGGTGGTTGCAACCATGGTGAGTCTATTTGAATTATGGTGGTGAGTCTAATGAAAATAAATTTTATGTTCAAACAATGTATAATGTAGTAGGACAATAAGGTCATCTAAAAGATAAAATAATTATATTGTCAGTCTATATAACTTAGGCATCTGATATGCAAGAGTTGCGATGGGTTGATATTGCTAGACACAGCACCAGTGGTACAAATGACATTCCAGTAAAGGCATTTGAATTTTGAACTCATTGACGAGATCAAAACAAGAACTTGGAGGGAAATTGCCCGGGCATTGTCTCGTGCTCGATACTTTTAGCCTATTTACCGCGGGACGCCTTTGTTGCTTTGGCCTCCCGCATTACGAGGTGCCCATTGGGTGACGTGCCAGTGCAGAGTGGCTCGAAGAAAATGTAGCTGGCAACCTCTCATTTAAATTATTTGGGCCCGCCGGAGGACTAACAGACGGATTGCTATTTTTTGGATAGGAGATATCCATATGAATGAGTAACAACCCAACACCTTGTTTTTGAATACTTGCGTCCCATTTCATGTGTTAGAGGCATGGGATAGGTTGGTATTACGTTTCCAGACTTGTTGACATGGTTATGGTAGTGAGTTTAGGTACATATTTTTTAGCTTAAAACACAGCTGAGTGCAGATCTGAACCTAGTGCAGCGCAGATGCAATCACCAAATTTAAATGGGTATATAGAGTTTGAGCCAAAGCTACTAGGTTCTATCGAACTTGTAACCCCGATTCTTACCTAAGTAACTCTTTCCTATTGACAATTGGAAAAACAGAACCATTGTGCCATTCTCTAAGAAAGAAAGATCTCCCTACTCTTTCCTATGCTACTATATGTATCATATGATTCTACACAAAAGCCTACTTTTTTGTAGAGTTGGAACTACAATCATCACCCTTCGCTAAAAAGTTATATTGTATCTATATAGATCAAATATTACTTTTCATACATATATGTCAAATCTTGCGCAACAACTAGTTGAAGAGATTTCACAAATTGGCAAGACAAGCTTATTCCTAAAACAAAAATCTAACAAAGGATAATGACATAAAAGAAAATGTTGCATTTTTTGAAGGAGGAGAATACTTGCTGTCAGCTTCTATTCTCTATTCCTATCCGAGTCTATCTACCCCTTCCATGGCACACACCTTCAAACAAACTTATACTGTCAGATTGTCCCTCAAAATAAGCATCAATCCCCTGCATATATTCAAGATAAAAGCAGAATTCATAACTGTAAGTTCAAGTAAGTAAAATGTTGCAAAGATGGACTAATTATTAGTATGAATAATGAAACCTTTTTATTTTTATTTTTGGAGAAATGTAAAACTTACATTGAGTGCTATATATTGATGTAGACCTTAAGGAAATTGTTTCCCATGTCCTCTTGTTCTTGTTCTATCTTTCTTGCAGATTCCTCAGCAAGAGTGCTGCAATTATGTAACTCAATTGACTCCAAACTACAAATTTCTCCAAAATCTATTGGAATTTCCTTAAGTTTTTTGCATTTCTTCAGAACAAGGCGTTTTAGATTTGGGAAGTTATCACTGCTAGCTTCCCAATGCTCAAGATTTATGTCGCAAAATAACAAAAACTCTAAACTTTGGAATTTGTCTTCATCATTCAATCTCCATACATTAAGAATGGCTGCATGATCTTTAAGTTTGAGCTCTTCAAGATTTGGCAACATAACAAGGGTTGACATATCTTTCCAAGTAAAATTATGCCAGCCAGCTAAAGTCAACCTCTTAAGTGATGTTGGGAAAGACCTGATGGAGATCAATGTCTGCACATACCAAGATAATTTGACACACTTCAATGCCTCGAGTTTTGTTAAGCTGGACATATCAATGAGGGGATTGGCCCAATCCCCGGTCCTCAATAAAGGTGTATTTTGGATGATCAATCTCTTTACATTGGGAATGTTAGAGAAGATTTCATTTGTACAACTGGTGAAAGAGAGATTAGAAAGTTCCTCTACATTTGGCATCCCTATCACAAGATGCTTATTTAGGATACTTTTTCCTCCAGGATTAGGTAAAGAGCACGCTTTCCTTATATGTATACACCTCAAGTTCTTCATCATCCATATCTTCTCTGGTAAAGTTGTATAACCATATTCTCTCCCATATATTAGAGTTTGCAAATTCTGAAGCTCTACGATTGATGCAGGAGGATTGTCATTACATTGCATTTGGAGATATCTCAGATGAAATAATTTTGTAATTACAAGTGGAAATGAACGAAAACATGCATATCCATGGAATATGGCCAATACCCTGAGAAGCTTGAAATGGGAGAAAGCTTCAAGGTTTACTCTCAACAAAATTTTAGGAAATAAGTAGATAGATCTGGCAACTGATGGTAATAGATCGCAACGATGAATAGCTGTATAACCGTACTTTTTTTGAAAACTGAAATGCCTCTGTGCAGAAACAGTAGGGACTATTTTATCTGTCTCAACATACATAAACTTTGTCAGTTCAACTTCAGTCAAACAGAATTCACGCAGTAGATCATGCATTCCACATGCTTTTATCTCACCATTGAATCTCTTTTTTCTAACCATTATCAAATTCCTGCTGATAAGATCCTCCAGATAATCTTCTGCCACTTCACTCAAACTTTTATCACTTCCAGGCCTCCTTATAAAACCTTCTGCAATCCATAATTGAATCAATCTCCAAGTTTCAACTTGATAATCCTCTGGGAAACCACCCATAGAAAGAAAGCAAGGTTTGAGGTGATTAGGCAAGTGGTGATAACTCAAACTGAGCACTCCTAAGCATTTATCTGGATGACTAGAAATGATTTCACCTAAGGTTTGGGCAACATCCATCCAACTTCCTAATGTCCTGGACACTTTCAAAAGATGTCCTGCAATCACTGAAATTGTTAAGGGTAGTCCTTGGCATTTTTCCGCTATTTTCTTTCCAATTTCTTCCTACTCAGGAGGATGACAATTATTTTGTACAAACACCTTATCACAAAGTAAGTTCCAACTGTTTTCTAAATTCAAGAGGTTCATCTCATGAGGGCTAATAGAATCTGCATACATTGCTACCTCTGTTTCCCTAGTAGTCAATAAGATTCGACTCCTATTGTTGTAATCAGGAAATATACCTCTTATGCTATCCCAAACATCCGTACTCCAAATATCATCAACAACAACAAGGTATCTTGGACCCTTTAGGCTTTTCTGCACCAGGTCAGCTAACTCATTGTCATCCTTCACATCATAATCTTTTTTTATGTCAATATTTGTTTGCTTTGAAATGCAATGTAAAGCCTCTAACAACACATTTCTTCTTCCATATTCTTGAGATATTGTAATCCAAACACGAATGTCAAAATGATACCTGAGTTTTAGGTGATCATAAGCTTTTCTAGCGAGTGTTGTTTTGCCAATGCCACCCATGCCTGATATTGTGACAATGTCCAGATCTGACAACTGTCCTGTCAGTCTTTCAACTATTATCTCCAGGTCATCATTAAGTCCGTGCACGATATCATCTTCCAAATGTTGCAGCGTTGGGTTGCCAATCAAGGAATCCCCATCAGATTCAAGAATTTGATCATCATGAGTGCTTGTGGTAAACTCAGAAACAATCTCCATCACTTCATTCTTTTGTGTATCGAGTTTTTCAACAACGGATAGCAAATTCTTGTGTAGTAAACTTGTAGGCGTAATTCCAAATATCCAGCTTAAGTCTTCCATGATTTGATAAATCCTCAGCTCAACAACATCTTCTGTATATCTAGCAGAAGCTCTTATTTTTTCCTCCAAAGATTTAATTTTTTTCTGGATCAAATCTACTCTTGCTAGTTTCCTCAACAACATTTAGAAAATATTCAGCAGTAACAAGAAGGGATTCGAGCGTTTTAACCATTTGACCTTGAATGAGGTCTGGATGGCTCTGCTGAAGTTGCTCAAGAGTTTGAAGAAGAGAAATTACAGCTATATAAGCTGCCATCAAATTAGGACTCAAAATAACAAAGATTTTCACTTGAAATACCTTCACAAGATCAAAAGGATAGAGAGACTTGAAAACAACTACTCAGTTGTTTCAACTATCTTTCTCTCAATCTTTAATCCCACAACTTGTTGTATAATACTTTTCATCTCTCTAATTGTTTGTCCGCTTTTGAATTGACATATTTATTAAAAAAATAATGATTAATATAGTGCGTTATCATTTTATTCCTATTAATTATGAAGTTGATGAATTAAAAACTTAAGATTTAAAAAAAAAATTACCTTTTTCAAAGTAATTAATTGAAAATATAATAAAAGAAAATTGTTTTTTATTAATTTGTCAAAATAGACAAGTAAATAAAAAAAAACAAGTAATTAAAAA